CCTCTCTTCCTCCCCCACCCCCACCCTCACCCCCAAGGGTCCTACCAAACCCCACAACTGCAACCACCCCTGCTGCTGGACCTCCGGTCAACTCCCCACCCCGCGCACCGGCTTCACCACCACCACCAGCCAGCGTTCTGCCACCATCCCTGATGAGGCCAAGCAAGTCCCTGACTCCGTCAAACTCCCCACCACCACCCACCAGCGTTCCGCCAGCTCAACAATCATCCCCAATGAGGCCAAGTAAGTCCCCGACTCCCTGGAACTCCCCTATACCCCCAAAACCAACGCCGCCCCCACCAACTCCCGCAAAATCTCAACAATCGGTACTTTCTCCCGAAATGCGAGCACTAACTCCATCACCATCTCCGAAAATTATGAAATCCGATTCTAATAACGAATCGCCGAAAACACACAAACCCTTATCTCACCCTCCATCCCCTCTAACCCTGCCCCCACCACAGATCAAAACAGACAGTGAGAACGAATCGGGCCCCAGAATCGAGCAGAAAAATGTGCTTGTCCAAGAGACCATCGGCAAACCACCGAACTATCACCCCAACAATTCCCATGCAATCAAAGGAAAATCGGGACCAAGCAATGGTAAGAATCACAAGAGCCCCAACAAGAAAAAAGTATCGGACTCCGAAGACCTCGGCATGCGGGTCATAACGCTCGCGGGCGAAAACAGAGGGGCGATCATGCAGTTAAGCCCGTCACACAACAAAAACCGCAATCTTGCCAAATATGCTACTTCAAACGATGGCCAAGGATCAGGCATCGATAATGCCGGGGAAGACAAGTCCAAGAATAAGGAGAAAAACAAGAAAAACACGGCTGTGCCGGCTCAGCCGACGACGGGCTTCTTCAATAGCAATGTGCAGGGAATAAACAACTCCATCCTTTACAACTCCAAGTGCGGCCATAATGATCCGGGCATCCATGTTTCTCTCGTTAGGAAGCCCAACGGAGATCGTAAGCACCATGAATAAACAGCTTCTTCTGAGTATCAATGTGATGTGCTCCTAATGTTTTTCCTTTGATTTTTGTTGGTGTTCATTTTTCCATATATGTTATATTTTCGAAAATAAAGCAGAGCTCGACTCTGTAGCAGTTTTAGAGAGCCTATTAATTTGTAATGTAATCTTCTCTGTTGTTTAATTGGTCAAAGCATATGTATTAACTATTTCCGGTTAATAATTAAAATGTACTCAAGTTTTGCTTGATAGTAATTTGTTGGTAATTTGTAATCGAGAAAGTTGGAGGATAATCCTGTAACGAGCACCAGATTAATTTTTTTTTAAAAAAACCAAAAACGCTTGGATGAGATGGTTT